AATGTTCATCTTAACCTTGATTGGTTTTCTCCAGTGCTTCCATTTTGGTTTCAGTAACTCCAAGTCTTCTTCAGCTCTGATTGTGAAAACAATGAATTCTGCATGATTCTCCATTCAGTGCCATTTAAATCATGAATGTAATCAGAAGAGCTAAGAGAGAAAACTACTTTACTTGGTGTGAATAATTGACTCGTTTGTTGTGTTACCTTCACTCTCCGTCTCTAGTTGCTCCACTCGTGTGTTCTGGTCCTCCAGATTGCTGGCGTTGAGTCGGGCCTCCAGTTCTGCTCGGTAATGATGGGATATGGTTAAGATTGATTCAATCTTATAGTGCAGAACAGATGCACTATAGCATGGGTAACCTGCACATTTGTGGAGGCTCTGTTAATGCTGAACCACATACGGGTTTTGGAGCAACTTGTGCATCCAAATAGACATCTTCTGTTTCAGGGAAGGTCTTGTTTATTTCAACATGACGATGTCAAAAAACATTCTGCACATGCTACAACTGAATGGCTCTGTATTTAAAAAATCCAGGTGGTAAACTGGCCCCGCCTTTGAAAATGTTTGGAGCAGTATGAAGCATACAATAAGACAAAGAAGTGTTGAGAGGCTGAAATCCTACATTAAACAAAGATGGTAAAACATGGCACTTGAAAAATTACAGAAACTGCTCTCTTAAAGGCAGAATGTGCAATATTTTACACATAAATATATCAGAAATCAAGTCTATCCTGTCCTGTCTCAGGACGTTTGCGTCAGACAGGCGGCAGCCGAGCAGGACTCTGAGGTCTGCAGAGCTGTGAACACCTGCAGGGGGTCTGTGTGAGGCGGCTTTTAAGAGTTAGGGGAGCGTGTATGTCAGGCTTGTATGCTGTTGTGATGTAGTCGGACATTTGAAGTTCATGGAACATGTCCACCAGGCCGGGTCAAGGACAGAGGGACTGTGATAAGAGGCTATGACACGAAGAACATGGAAACAGAAACATGACAGGCATGTTCAATGTTTTAAAAGTGCAGACCTGACAGGTTTCATACTGGTCCTGTGTGCACAGTAAGAAGTATAACTGGTCCCAACTTGCTGACCTGAGGGACGTCCCTTTGACACAGAATCTTCCATATTATTGACAGGCCTGCAGTCAGTTGCCACCCATTTATCGAGCGCTGTGGTGAACTTCTACGATTTAGTTTCATCCACAGGTCAGTGGTGATTCTCAAACAAAGTAGTACCCTGCTGGTGCTCTGTTGAGATGTGCTGCCTTGTAGAAAAGTGCTACCACAGCATGAAACGATATCAGACTTGATCTGTATCCCCAATCAAATAACGCTACCACAATTAAATACCTTTACATTAATTTACTGCTCAATCCATGTGCCTTGTTCAGAGAGACTGAGAGCAAGTTTTGGTACTCTGTGATTTAAGATTTCAGGGGAAGCGTATCTTGATCGACAATAATCTCCTAATCAAAAAATGCTCCCAGTGCAGAATAATTTTAAACTTTAAAACACTACAACTCATTTACATTGAAAGGAAACAGGGAGCATGTTCTGATACTAAGATTTTAGAGTAAGCATATATAGATGAATAGCCCGTAGCAGTATTTAATAGAACACCGGCTCTCAGATGACATCAGTCTGATAAGCTACACCTGTATGTTGAGCTGGTAGGTGGGAGCTCAAACCTGAGGTACTTTGTTGACATTTTAAATCAGTTTGACACAAAGTGCATTTCAGTTTTGGCTCGTCAACTGAGCGGTCTGGGAGACTTTTCCATCTCTGCAGAAGCTGGACCACGCTATGGCAACTCAATCACAGTGTGTGGGAAGGGACCAAATGGCACGTGATTTTTAAACAATGAATGCATTAATTTCTAACCTTAATTGTGATTCATGTGTTTGCGCTGCCTCAGTCCCACTGGGACGTGACTTTAGCTCACGTTACCTTCAATCGAAATCTGACAATAGTTTCAGTTATCAGCCTCCTGCAGAGCGGAGGGGAATTCAATCTGCACAAATATCAATTTTTTTTGTTTTATTAATAAGACATTTAATTGATGACAGTTGATGTTGTTGCCATGACAATGTTATTAAGTGGTTATTTTTACACCGAAAAATGGGTACATCATAGACAGGCAATAGCAGAAGCATGCTGTATTTGAGGTTAAGCAGGCTAAGTTCAATGTAGCTTCATTATTTATATGTTTTGATGTTTTTATTGTAATGTTGAACTGGTAAATACTACAGAAAAGATTAGAGAGGATTCACAGCTGTTCACAGTTAAAGTGACATTTTAAGACACATTATAAGCTAGCTGAGGCACACGCTCGCCTTTGTGTGTGAGGGTAAACACGTGGATGAACTGGGCGTCCGGCCGGCTCCCATCAGCCCTCAGGACGGCTGCATGACAGCCGAGTACAGAGCTGGAGAAGTGTGTGTTTATCCGCCTGTGTGTGTTTGTGTGTGTGCATACAAGGGCTCCCAGAGGTCAGGTGTTCGACAGGAAAGGGCTTATCTTCAAGCATATATGAAGGAAATATCTAATTTCACGGTTTTTAACTTGTGTGTGCTGCATGAGGACCTGACCTGAGCATGCTCACATGGCTGCACAAACAGTGGTTTATACGAGAGAGGCTGCAGAGAAACATAGGGGTGTGAAGTGTTAAACGTGTGTCTTCTGGCTGCTGGGAATGGGGTCAAAGCGGGTGAACGGCTAACCTCGATCAAAGTCAGAGAAAGCCACAGGCTGTCCTTCTGTCATAAGAGGAAATGTCACATGTACACAGACATCCTAGTCGGGGGGTTTTCCACTCTTGTTGTCTTCATTTTTTCTGTAACCCTGTTGTAGAGGGTCTGGTGCTTTGCTCGAGGACACCTTGGAAGTACTTGGGAACCTCTCCAGAAACCAGACCCATTTCCATACTTTGGTCAGTACCAGGGCTTGAACTGGCAACCTAACCGGCCTAAATCACTTACTGTGTAGCCTGCCTAAAGCTCAAATCCCCCGGTCAGGAAGAAAACAGTGTTGACATTCTTCAAAACATTTGAACAAAAGGACTAAAACAGAAATGAAATATGAATGTAGGGAGAGCTTGTCCAAATGTTTAAGAAAGCTGTCAGATAAAGTTCCCTCCTCTGATGTTGTTTGTTCGTCAGCGTCTGAATCCAAATGTGTTCTCGTCCAGAGAGTGTGAACTGTGACAGAAATCTCCAGCCTCCCATCTCCTTATTGAACCATGACAGAAGTTATTGTTGCAGCTTCTTTTAAATAGTTTCTGATTCAGGGGTCTTTAAACAGCTGCAGTCACACCTTTACATTGAAACTATTCTCTGTCTGAGTCAAATCACTGGCTGACGAGCAGAGCAGGCTTTTTTTAGATTTTTTTTTCTAGCGTGAAACAGGATTTTCAAAGCTTCTGTCAAACTTTAAACCTATGTGTCTGCAGCCTTTTGTGGCAAAGCTGGCTTAGAGCACAATTTGTGAACAACCTTTGACCTTTATCTGGATATTTTTATCATTCAGAACCTATGAAACTATTTGTATAGATGAACATAAAGATGGAGGAGCAGGAGCGGAGTACTAGAGGGATATGCAGCCCTGACAGGAAAGGCATGATGAGGATGAAGGTTGAAATTTACGGTATGCTAAAGGTGTTGTGTGTTGGATTTAATCAAACTAAATTAAACAGAAGGCTTCCATACATCATGGCAAACAGAGTCGATATAATAAAAGGATAAGTGATGGATATTGTAATGGATGAATAATGTTCTGAATAATTAATGTTCAGCTCCAAAGAGGAGGTCATATGAATGTGGACTGAACTGTCTTTTTCAATTTGCCTGTACATGGTAGTTCACCAGTAAGAAGTCCCTGACATGCTTATTATTTTAAATGTCTTTATGAAATTGAACATGCCAGTGGAAAAAAACCTTCTGTGTCACTTCCTGCTGCCTCGTATCACTCTGCAAAGCCCCGCCCACCAAATGACGGACCGATCATGCATGCCAGCCGTAATACGTCACTGCAGCCAGGTGCTGATGGTGCGTCTGGAGCACCTGGACTTTTCCGGGTGGACTGAGGTACTATTTGACCTACTATAGCAGCCAATGTGAGCGGCAGGAATGAGTAAATATATGTTTCTGAACGCACACACTATCACATGCGAGTGCCACTATCAGGGTTGGTTTATTGTGCTCAGCCAGGTGCCGTAGAATCCAGACCGCGGTTGGCCAAAAGTGATGACTCTGCGTCCCTCATGACGCACATAGCAACCGTCTACCTGCTGACACAGTCAATCAATCAATCATTATTTGTGTAGCGCCAATTCATAACAATTGTTATCTCGAGATGCTTTACAAAAGAGCATATGGGATAAGAAGCAGGAAGGGTTCCCTTTGTATTCCTCATGTTCCTGTTGTCCACACTTCCTCCCCACTGAGGTGGAGGTCAGAGCAGGCCGTGCATTAATGAGGACTGCGGTGGTTGTGGGGACGATACAGTTTGATTGTGGTGGCTGGGCGTCAGGTGGTGGTTGGTTCAATCATGATGATGACTTGTGACATTGTGTAGGCTAGTGCGTCTCTGCAGAACACAATGTCATTATAATCCAGTTTTATGAAACAATCACCATTTTCATATAATTACTGTTTTTTGCGATTTGGATATTGCACTCAGTCATATTGCAGTTTTTATTGTTTTGCAGTAACTGTATAGGACAGTTAGCTGACACAGTTAGATGGTTCATGTGGACAGGTTGGCCTGGGATGGAGTCAAATTCCTGACTGCAAACTCTCTGTTCCATCAGCTTATTATGACAGATTCAGAGGAGCATAACACTGACAGAAGATCGAATATACATCCCCCAAAAAAGTTGTCTAGTTATGTGCAAGCTGACTCTGATTGGTTGTTTGATCCTTTGTGTGTTCTGTTTATCTAAATGAGTGTTGACTCTTTTACTCGCTATGGTCTAAACTTCAGCTCCATCTCTCTCCTCTCCTCCACAGATCATCGCATATCAGCCGTACGGACGCTCTGTAGACTGGTGGGCGTACGGAGTTCTGCTCTATGAAATGCTGGCAGGGCAGGTGAGTCGTGTACACACACACACACACACACACACACACACACACACACACACACACACTCACACACAAACAACCTCCCTACACACACAGTTTCACCCTTTATGTAATAACCTGTTACAGGTTATGTAGTACAATACACAGGCTGCTCACATCTACATTATTCCCACCTTGAAATTGCTCTGCCGGGGCCTGAATGTACTCAGCCGGTTCTTCCTGAAAACTTTCACTCCAATACTTCTAACACACACTGACCCACAAACATAGAAATCCTCCTTCTAGGTCAAACCCTTTCAGCAGGACTTGTGTTTGACCTATGTGCCCTCCTGCAAATGTAGGCGTGCATGCATATATGTATCCTTATATCCTGCAAGAAATGTCTGCTCAACATGTAGCCCTCCTTGTGTCACACTCGTCTTCATACATATTTACTAAATATTAACTCAGGCTGCTCAACACTTTGCACTGGTATCGTTATCGCAGTGGGAGCGTTTGCAATAAATACATCTCAAGGTTTGAAGTAATCCCAATAAAAATAGATAAATAAGTAAATGATCCTATCAGTGAGAACATAAATAAACCGTGGCACACTGAAATATTAATTTAACTTTATTGTGAGTGAATTGTGATTTAAAGTGCGTCCTTCATTCCTGCTTAACTTAAAAGTAACAAATTAGTATACCATATCATAACCTATAATGTCTGCACTTAAGTTGCATTGTGGGTAATAAAGACACCAATGTCTTCCTTTTTTCTGCTGCAGGCGTATCAATCTCAGACCAAATAAGAATAAAAATACAAAAAGCTCATGCAGGCTCCACCACATATCAATCGTTCTCTTCCTCAGACTGTTTAGTGCTTTGCCACCAAAGTAACTACCAGTCTGCAGAGTACATATAGCATATTTTTGCTCAGAACTACTCCCATCCATATTTTATGTGACCAGCGTTCTATTCGGGAAGCCTCCTTTTTTTTTTCTGTTTCTTTTGTTTTTATTCCTGGCTGCAGCTCGGTGCTCTGCCAGAGGACATGAGTCGATTTTGTGGACAAAACTCTTCATGTACTGAAGAATCTATCAATACTGTGTTGGCTCGTAAAGAGGAGCTGCTTTTGGAATCACATATAGAAGTGAAGACAAGCAGGACATGCAACTTTCTCTGTGTGAACACTGTGAAAAAAGATCCTTCTTCACATGAACTCCAAGCTTGAAATGTGTTCTTCCCTCACCAGCTTCAAGTCGAGTTTGACATTTTCTCACTGGGAACTGAGCTTTAACTCTGTAGGTGTTAGACAAAGTGATTAACAGCACTCTGCAGAATCAGCCTTTTTTTGTTGGCAAGATTCTTGATGAGTGAAACATTTGAGAATTTGCCACCACTTAACCATGTACGGGACAAAATCAGAAAATATGTAAGAGGCACAGCATCGTTTACAGAGGGCGCCAAAATCCACACAAACTAATAGTTCCTAACTGAAGCTATTAAAGGTCACATGCAAAATACACTTCACCGTGTTGTGAACACACTATGTGTCCCTAGTCTGTCTACAAACCCCCCAAATGATGAGAAAAGTCCATCTTCTCTGTCTTTTGGCTGCTCCACTTTTCTGAAAATGTGTGCTCAAACACGCCATTTGGAGAGTTTCCCTTCATGACATCACAACATCCCCCAGGTGGTTGACACTCCCACAGCTAGGTGTTTGTTCTGCCCTCTGAGTCTGCCTTCTCACTGTAAACAATAGGACATGGAGCGAGAAAGCCTGAGACACCCGAGCCCTTCCAGAGCCCAGAGCCCTAAAACCACATTGTTGTTGGAGTTAGAGCCGAAACAGAACATGTTACGTATAAAGAGAACAAAACAAAGCAAGAGATCAAATCTCCATATTGAAATCTTCATCCTTTAAAAAAATAGAAAGACTCCAAAAATCCTCCCTATCAGATGATTCTAATCCAATGACTCATTCATAACTTTATGACCTGATCTATTTTTAATATGACCCCCATTTCAAAAGGGCGACAGTTAAGTGAAAGTACAAGTAAACACAATCTCCTCTACAGCACAGCAACATGTCTGAGCATGTTTCTCCTTCCCAGATGAATTAAGAGCAAGTTTCTGCTGTTGGAACATTAACAAAAGTTTAAACCTCCTCAGACGCTCTCCGTCCTCGTCTCTCCCTGCCTTGTGTGAAATCAAGTAAAGAGGGCATGACGCAGGAAAAGGCTATCTCTACCCCAAGGGGCCAGTGGAGTGGAAATGAGGAATAATTCATTTTATGGACTGTCAAAACAGCCACATTATGGTTACTGATGATAACCACCCAGTGAGGAGGGGAAGAAGCTGGGTCATGCCATCCATTTGCCCTGCAAGGTCCTTCTGTGAAACGTGTTTCCACAAATTCTGCACGGCTCCTGAAAGGTTTCTATTTGTTTAAATGTTGTCTGATGTTCTAGCCTTACTCTCCAATTTAGAATCATGTTGTGAAGACAACAAACATACAGCGTCCATGTTTATTCAACAGGGAAACAGTTCTTATTTAATATATAAGGAGAGTTTAAAATTGACTAAACAAAAAGGTAACTCCAACACGGTTAGTTGTTAACACAAGCTATTCACATAAAGTGAATGAACAAGCAACTCAAGAATATTTCAGCAGCTGCCTGCCTAACATTTTCTAGAATATGTGAAAAGGGTGATATTTAACTCTCAGCAGTAAGAAGCCGTCAAGATCACAGCGACAACGTATTCATCCCTGATGTGATAATGGCTGAAACACTAACGGCTGTCTCCACGTCTTGTTCTTCCTCCCTCAGCCTCCGTTCGATGGAGAGGATGAAGACGAGCTGTTCCAGTCCATAATGGAGCACAACGTGTCCTACCCCAAGTCCCTGTCCAAAGAGGCCGTCTCCATCTGCAAAGGGGTGAGTGCATGTTCTTAATGATACAACAGTTCTGACCGAGTACTCTGATTGGTCAGGAGGCCGGTACCAGGTGTTCTGTTAGGTCACATTACAGCAGACATAGTTAGTCCTGACTAATGGAGGTGGTACCTCTGATCACAAAACATACTCTTATTTAACTCTCTGCATGCTCAATTAATCATTCAGCGCAGCCAAGTTTAAACTCTACTAATATATTAGGTGTTGCACCAGCTGAGGTAGTTCCAACCTAGGCAGAAGTTACACCTTAAATCTAACCCCTAAAGCTCCTAGTAGGTGTGAAGTCCTCTGTAAAGACTTATTAAACCTTCTTTTCTCACCTTGAGTGTAATTCCTGTAAATTATAATTTTAGACTTTCTGTCTTTCTCGGTCTTCACTGGCGCTGGAATAATCTCACCTCTTGTAAAAGAGTGTACTGGTTTAACTTAAGAGAGGAAACAAGGAGACTGCTGTAAAGTTTCCCCCCCCAGAGTTTGACATAACATGAATGAAGTTGAGCTCCATTTACTGTAAAAGCATGAAGTCAAGACGCAAAAAGACCGTCTGGGAACTCACAAGATCTCTGCTGTCTCCTCACTCACAACCTGTGTCTGTTAGAGTTCAATTATTAAAACACTGAAGGGAAACCTCTGAGCTCATCCAATATCGCCCCTGTAAGTCCCAGTAGCTCCATGCGCCTGGTGTTTTGAAGGTCTGTTTTTAATAGCTTGTTGACAATTTGAAGTTTATCCTCCTTGAAGTTCAAAATATTTCAGATGCTAAGAAGAGAAACGACAGTGGAAGAATTTGTATTTAAATGATCCATATGTTCAATGGTCAGTGAAAAATCTGATTCATGACAGTCAGGCGTCTTTCTAACAACTAAACCCTTATCGGTTTAACCTGAAGTTAAATTCAGTGACTCTTCTAGAGGTAAGAGAACACCCAGAAAACTGTCCAAATCCAGCACAATGTATATTCAAATTGTCTGCAAGTAAATTATGTAATTTGGTTCACTGAGTGTGGCTAATGTTAGCATTGCTAGCACCACCAGCCTTCAGTCTTTCTTGCAGCTTAACGTCCACATGGCTGTGTTACATGTGGTTATGCATTGCTCCGGTCGGTATGCCAGTTTCACCTGACATGGCCTATTGAATCTCTGCTCTTGATCTAAATACTGCCAAACCATGCTGCTCTGCCAAGATGCTGTCAGTCACTGTGCTTGTTTACATTCGGGCAGTAGAACCAGAAGAGAAGGCTCTTTAGCCGGAGCTACAGCCAGTCCGTGTTGTGTTTATACAACATACATTGTATTATCTCACGCTGTTAACAGGAGGGCTGTGCTCCAAAAATTGATTTGGCAATATATTGTCATGTGCTCGTTGAAAATACTTGTATGGATGCAGATGTTACAGAATCGATTCGGCTGCAAAGCTGTGATGACAGTTTTGAAAGACAATTGCCCGATGGTGCAGCTCACATTAACACCATGACCATCACTCTGGGGTTAAAATATTTGATTGCATCTTGAGGATCTCTGAGGCTCTGAGTTGAAGTGTTTTAAGTTGAAGGATCCTTAATATGCCTTTGCTGTTATTTTCAACAATAAAGAACAGCTGCTGTAGTGAAGTCTGTGTAGGACATTGTCATTATCAAAAATCAACATATATCGCCTTATGTATCGTATCATGGGGTTGTTGGAAATACCCAGCCCTAGGCAGCCTTCAGCTCATGACCTTAAAAAAAAAGATAATGACACCCAAATCATAAAACATGCATACTATCCTATAAACCTTGAAACGCTGACAGAAGTTACAGAAGCACACTTTTGTTAATGTGTGAGCAAGGAATTAAATCGTGATAGTGGTCGTTTGATTTCTGATCAAAAGCAACTCGACCGGCTGTGCTGTATCACAGTATTTGTCCTCGTCCCGTCCTTCCCTCCACCTGTTTCCCTTCATGCTCTTGTTTCTCTCTCCCGTCCTTATTCTTCTATCTTTGGCGTCCTAGCTGTTTGTGCGCACATGTCTGGGTTATCACACTGAGTCCCTATCTCAACCCTTCTATCTATCGCTTGGCATGGCTGCAGCTCTCGCTCTTACTGGATACATAACGCTCGTCAGCAGTCTGACCCACAAAACTGAGAGAAGAGAAGAAGAGAGGTACCAAACAGATGAAGAGAGGAGAGAGAAGCAGGGTGTGACATAAGTCATATCGACATATAAGTATAACAACTATAAATCAGATGTGAGCTCACATACATAGAACGGTGGAGTCGGTTCAGATTCTCTCTCTATTATTAGCGAGCCTGTGTTTACAGTACAGTTCATTACATTTAAGTAGGTCGCAGTGTAGATGCACATCTATCAGCGTAATGGGATGCCACCTAAAGGTCGTCCTTTTGAATGCTGTGGTAGTTCATTATGATTACTGGGAGAGAATAAAGGTGGGACGAGATCTAAAAATAAACGTTTGTTAGTCCCAATTTCACTTGTAGTTAGATATCTCTGTCTTGAATAAACGTCTGGTAAATACATCGAGACAGGCGAGGTTTCTGATGTTTTTAGGAGAGGAAGTACATTGCAGGAAAATTCAGTGCTGCCCTTGATTAGGAGTTTCACCTCAGTAACATCGTGTTCTCAGACTGTATCTAACAAACTTATTTTAAGGGCTGATAATGACATGTATGTGTGTTTTATAAGCCTTTGCGTCCTGAATCAGTCCGTCTTACCTGGACTGACTCCCTGCTGACTCAGACCCCATCTGTTCCCCCCCTCTGTCTCTCGCTCTCTCTCTCTCTGTCTCCCTCCTAACTCTTCCCCTCCTCTCTCGCCCCGTCACATCTAATGATTCGTTGCTCTCAGCGGAAACAGCAGGGTAACTTTGAGGTTATGCACACCTCTATGAGCACATGCAACTGAACCTTTTGCTGGCAGTATAGCGCGGCCGAGGCGTCGAGATCCCAACAGTTTTGCAGAAAAAGTGAATGTTCTTCATGAAATGTCGACACCATGTTTTCCATCTTTAGGACTAAATGTCGCATTCATGCAAAGGAGTTCAAGTGCCCAAGTCAAAAAAAAAAGAAACACAGAATACTTGCATGTGAGTGGTTTCATTTGAATGGTGACAGGCGTCCAGTGTTTGCAGCAGAATGATTCCTCGCCGTCACTGACAGTCCTGTGAACAGACAGAAAACTGTAAATTACTTTTTCTCACTCGTCGACAGCTGTTTGAAACCCAAGTGTCAAAGGAGCTGCGGGAAAGCTGGCCTGCTGAAACTCTCAAGTTGAAATTCAACACTGACTCCTAATTGAGCCTTTTGTCTTCTTTTATATGAAGTCATCTCTTAAGTTATCTGAGCAGTAGATCGTCTTGTCGTGCACATGTGATATTTTTCATTTACTTCCATCTGTAATCTCTGAATCCATCGAAAGTCATCGTTTTCACTGTCTGATAGACGATATATGCCTCTGGGAGCGGATGTTCATTTCTCAATAATTCAGGTGAAACTAGCAGTTAGCATTGAAGGATTTCCAGGCAAGACTTCCTCTTCCATCCGGCGTTTACATCAGCAACATAAACATCGTCATCCTTTGGTCCATAACATCCTGGAGCGGCTCCTGTTCATCTTTTGAGTCTCAGCTCAGTTCAACGGGTAGAATTACATTTACACAGCGGCTTCAATCCGACTCACTTTAACAGTATGAGCCCCCCCGCCCCCCCCCACCACTCCAAACAAACAAGATTCTCATAATTTACTTGCGATTAATGGCATTCAGATTAGCCGAAATAACAACATCATGACATCGTGATGCAGATTTGTGAAAAGCTTTGTCGGGTCTGTTTTTTGTTGTTTGATGAATGGAGGTCTCATCAATCGCTTCTAATGTGTTTCAGGTAGTCAGGTAAACGCTGATTGGCTTTTTCAGGATGGGAAAACATTTTGTTCAGTAAAAATGTGTTGTATCACATGTGAGACAACACAGATGTCAACGTCATATCTATTTCTTATTGAAAAATAAGATTTATTCAAGTTTAGTGCGTTTAGCCTGACTGACAGGCTGCTTTAAGGCATCGTGTTCTTGCCTTCAGTCGGAGGCTGTGGTCTGAAAGCTGATTACTGATCGTCCCTCTGTGTAAGAGTTATAAAACATACAGAGCGTGAGAGTTAAACATGTCATTCAGGAGATCTGCTGTAAGGTGGCTGAGCTGCGTGTGGAGGTGTGCATCACAGATTAGGGATTTAAATGGCGGGCTGCGGTCTCGCCTGTGTGTGTGCTTGTCTTTATATTGATGCATGTATGTACTTAAACTTTGGGTGCTGCCTGGCTCTGCACACGAGAGCAGAGCCAGGCAGCCGTTGTGTGGCAGCATTTCAGCGAGCGAGAGTCAAACAAAGCCGCATTTCCATTTCATATTCTGGAGCATGAATAAGTTATTTTGTCCTTGGACTGACAATAGAGGAACAAACAACGAGTCTCTCAGCCCATCTCCGTCTTCTTTTTCTTATTTACTTCTCAGAGGTCGGAGTACCAATGCAACATACTGATTTATTGCTAATGGTATAGCTGGTTCAGTTCGATTTACACGCTAGCTGTTTACTCCTGCAGACTTAAACGTTCTTCACCTGGCGTTTTTCCAGGCAGTAAAGCGCTGGCAGTGCTCGAGAGTGTTTGCATGAAGTGTTTGTGCGCAGAGAAGGCAGTCTGTTGACAACAGACGCACTATGACCGACACCGCTCCATTACTTTTTACTGCATGAGGACAACAGCGCTTTTCTGAAATGTTGAAAGATTTTCATCTTGAGGGCTCGGAGCAGCCGCGTAAAAAAGGCCGAGCGCCAAGAAATGAGACTCTGGCCACTGGGCATTCCCTCCAGGCAGCTGCTCTCTACTCATTGAAAACAATTGAAAAAAGACGCTGCCGCTCAGAAAAAAAAACGCTTGGTGGACATGGAGCCTTATGCAATCAGCAGGAATATCAAGGCTTTTATATTCTAATTTCATCATGAACTAATGATTGGAGGGTTTTCTGACAGCCACAAATACCAGATCATCTACTTCTCAATAAAGAAGGTGCATTAACACAACCTTTAGGGTTCAATTTTCCTCTGCTGGTGTCTAAACTAAACACTCGGCCCTCCTGTGTGCCGTGCAAAAGAAAGTTGCATTGGACGTCTTAACAGAATGAAAAAGCAGAGGGAGAGAAACACAATAACAATGATATCACTCTTGCTGAGACCCATCTGTTTGGCTGTCATTTACTGACCTAGAAAGAGATGGAATCATGACACAACCGATGAGTGAAGGAAAACAGAGCGAGAGTTTTTAATAATGCAGTAACACTGACCACTTTTTACAGAGCGATAAATTCCCCATGCTGATGTTCTGCAAAGTTACATTATTCCTTCTTACTTTAGAAACTGGCAAACAATGAAAATGCATTTCTCTTCTCTAACATCATAGATTGTATCAAACATGGACGTGGTCTCAAGCTCGGCGTACACTGAGAAAGTTGTGTTGGAATGTCAACTCATTGTCCGACACCGAAGCTCTAGTATGATGTGCTCGCACTGTACGACCTGATTGTTGGGCACGACCTGAGAGCTCACACTGAACGAGTTAAATCAGGACGGATCGTTCACAATCAGTCAATAGAAAACTCCCACACACAGAGGTTGAAGTCAGATCTGTGTGTTTTCAGTTGTCTCAAACAGGCTACACACCGACAAAGACGATCTTACTCTCTCTCTCTCAATCAGCCTCACCGATAAACACAACGTCCTCATTAACTCACATAGCTACGTTCACTGCCTGGTACTAAGAAAGATTTCAGGGGGCGCAGGATGGCTTAGAGGTAATATATCGCCCTAGTATCTGAGGCTGTTGTCCTCCAAGCAGGCTGTCCAGCTTCGAGTCTGATCAGCGGCTCCTTTCCTGCATGTCATTCCTCATTTTCCCGCCCTGCTTTTCTGCTCTATCCACCGTCCTTCCTAAGCTAAGAGTTAGCGGTACATTCACAGGTGTTAGGGGGCGTGGCTGAGTTGACTGACAGGTGGACTCGTTGTAGATGTTTACAAGAAGGCTCCACATCTTTGCCAGTTTCTAGGTTGTTTGAAAGTTAGCTGATAATCCAATATGGCAACTTCCATCGTTGGGCTTCAAAACGACTAATGAGTGTACGTCCATGTTTTATAAAGTCTATGACTGAAACCTTCACCAGTGAGAAAAAAGAGAAAATCTTGTATAATCCGAGTACAAGAGGATTTAACGCTGTGGTGCATGTGCAATGTTTATTCTCTTTTTTATTTCTCTTACTCTGAGCAGCTGATGACCAAACACCCGTCCAAGCGTCTGGGCTGCGGCACCGAGGGAGAGCGGGACATCAGAGAACACGCCTTCTTCAGACGCATCGACTGGGAACGCCTCCAGAACCGAGAGATCCAGCCGCCTTTCAAGCCCAAAGTGGTAAGAACTGTGCACATTTACTCTCTCACACTCGTCAACGAGTATGTTAATGATGTTTTCATCGTGTCATTAAGAGCGAAGCAGCTTTGTATAATCGCTGTAACCAAGGTCGTGGTGATAAGTCACTTCCTCGTACAAGTTTAGCTCTCTTTGACAAAAGGCCACATCTCCAATTACACAACATGAATGATGCTGCTTTCGTCATCTTTTGAGTGCTTGGTGGAAAACTACACCCAATGATTTTATAATATATATCTACTTCCATTTGCATAATGGGAGAAGATGAACGTGCATAGAAGTTAGCCTTTGGTTTGGAGTCAATCGTTCTCTCTTGAGTAAATCTCGTGCTTCCTTTTCATCCAGAAAACAGAAATGGAGCGTTGGGGTTAAAATGTCACTGCTTGGCTCGCGGGTAGTTAGGACACTCCGATAAGAAACAATTGAATCAGGATGATTTTGTTGCTGATTCTCGCTAACGTCGCGTGCTGTTAGGACAGACTGTTATGAGTCCAGTATTAATGTGGTATAGCATAATTGATCAGTATAGACTTAATAGATTTAGTTTTTCATACAGTACACCCACACATGCAACACAATAAGGATGAACAAGAAAGTGAAAGAACTTTCTGAAGTGCATGCATCCAGACAAATGAGCACAGATGTGTTCATCACTACAAAACTCCTCCGTCATCGTAAGACGTGTTGTGCCCCTCTTCGCTCCCTCAGGAAGTTTGTGTCCTCGATGTGTTTGTTTACAGACTTTAACCCGGAGCCGTCAGTCTGAGAAGTTACGCAACAATACTTCAGCAGCAGCTGCCCTTAAGTCTGTATTGTTTTGTTCCCAAACTTTTCAGCTCCTGGCCCCCAAAAATAAGGTTTGCCAGAAACTGGGAACCTCCACGGTCCCTGGAGGAAGTTAAGACGCGTACACGGACGCGCACACACACTAATAGTCCTCTCCAAACACTGGAAACACAAAAAGAACGACACAGAAGAATACAGCAGCCTAAACACAGTTATTGTAAGAAGGCTAGATGTAGAATAGAAGTAATTTTCATGTATAGACTTTAGCAAAAACACACACACACAGAGAGAGACTCACACAAACATAAAACAATAAGCCTACTTCATTATTAAATATTCTTAAAGATGAAAATATTCTTCAAACACACTCTGTCTGCATGCTCAGTGGCGTTTCTAGAGCCTGTTGGGGCCCTATGCAAAAATCAATTGGGGGGCCTTCCAACCCACGTTCAGCAGGGCAACAAGAATGAGTAATGTCAGATGAGGCCCCCTTAGGGAGGTTTCCTAGCGTCATTGCAAAATTTGCACATTTGAGGCTGCTGCTGTGCCTGTGCCAAGCAGTTGCCTGTTGACGAGCAGCGCCCCTGTGCATGCTAAGGGTTGCAACAGAAGCCAAACCATTCCTGTTCCTGTCGGGATACTTCTTTTTTTTATAATCTTTATTTTATCAGATACCCTAAAATAAATGTCCAACATGAACATGAAAATTCCCCCCTAAATGTTTTTTTGGAACAAAGCAGAGGACGTTTGACTTCATAAAGAGCTGTCTCACTTCGGTTGAGGATTTCAGTTTTTTTCGACTTTGAGAGTCATCGTCTTCAGTGTTACTCCCTCATGGTTATGCAATCGAAGCCAGTTGATGGACAACACAGTGGGTCATTTCAGGACAGGTTGTGTATCAAAGTCATCACAACTGGCCCCAAGGCTTTTTCAAAAACACATCGTCATTAATAATTCTCGAGAGGTGTGTTTAAAATGTAATGACAGGAGAAAGTTCTGGTGAAAGATAAATGAAAGAGACGGTTTGTCTCACTCTGGAAGTTTTTAATGGTGTAGCTGTGAAAGTGCATTTTAATGCAGTCAGGGTGGCAGCTCAAGTATGAAAAAAAAACAATCAACAGTAAAATCAGGTAAGTGATTTTTTTTTTAATTCAGTAAGGTAAAGCACACACCGTCGGACGGAGCAGAACTACGGTGCAGACGAAACGTGACACCCACGGACGCTGTGGGGTCTCGGTGAAAGAGGGCGATCATAGTTTTTCATTAAAACTTAAATGATGAGTATATTTTGACATCATAATGACAAACTACACAAAGAGGCATTCGCTAGGACTTTCTCCGTTTTTAACAGCTGCTGTAACTCAGATATCTGTGGTCACTCTTTAACCTGATGAACTGGGACCGTTGTAAATGAAACGTTATGCTGACTGTACTGACGCTGTGTTCTGTTCATCGGACATCGGTCGCCTGAGATCTGAAGTCACTGTTGATTATTGATGTTTATTATTTGAGCGCATATCTCAGAAGTAACTCAGTAGCAACTGCGCCATGTTTGTAGTTTACATCCTGCAGATCAGGCCGGGCTGAGCTCCCCCTAGAGGTATCCCACTGTAACATGCGTCAGTCAAGTATATTTACAATTACGCTCATGACGCAGCCGGAAGATCGTGCAAACGCAAGGTTGAACAGCAAGTATGTCAGAACGTTTATTGGCATTAAAAGTGTAAATCTCGAATATGAGATAATCCAATCGTTTTAGACATCAGTAAATGCTTCAAAACTAACAGTAACAAACTCTTCAAATATCATGGAGTTTGGGGGTCTTTGCTCCACAAACATAACGGTCTCATCAAACCGAGGCTGACGTCAGTGTGATGTGAAATAAAACACTTCCTACTTTACAGGACTCTCTTGTGTCGAGTGAAATCACACCTCCAGGCTTCGGCTACTTATAGCTTGTGTTTTATGGGCCATAAGTAATTTCACATGCTCTCATGTTAATGTATAATTAATATGAAACATTCATTTATCATGAGGAAGTATAGCTCTCATTCAGCTGCACACTAAGTAGTAGCTTTGAAACCTGATGGGATTACACATGATCAGGTGGAGCACACACTCTTTGTTCTGCCTTTCTATCACTCTCAGTCAAACGTTTATCTTTCAAAATGCACACAGTGACTCACAGAGTTCATTTAGGGTGTTTTTTTTTTCAAACACAAGAAGTCGGTCACTCAGTGTACTGCGTGCATGTGTGTACATGTGTGTGTATCCCTTACAGTTTAAATATTGTAGTTCTCTTCTGTTTCAACCCTCAAGGGCTCCAGTTCCTCTGATAAGGTGAATCCTGACCTCTTTGTCTCCCACTGTGTGGATGTCCTGGGCGCCCTGGAAATGCTGTGTGTGCTTTGTGTGTGTGTGTGTGTGTGTGTGTGTGTGTGTGTGTGTGTGTGTGTGTGTGTGTGTGTGTGTGTGTGTGTGTGTGTGTGTGTGTGTGTGTGTGTGTGTGTGTGTGTGTGTGTGTGTGTGTGTGTGTGTGTGTGTGTGTGTGTGTGTGTGTGTGAGTTAATGTATGTGTGTGGGAAGGTTAAAGAGAAAGAGATGATAAACGGAGGCTGAGAAAAGCAGGGGAGCAAGATTTCCTTGCATGTACGCCTCGTCTCTGTGTCTATTTGCTGCATATGTGTGTAGGGGGGGATCGATATCGGAGAGAGAAAGGACGGAGAAGCGTCTGTGCTTGTATTTCTGTGCAGGCTGGAGATGCAGGGAGGTGGATGCATGCAAACGTGCATGTCCTTTGCACAGTGCATGCTTGCATGGGTCTGGCCGTGGATGCATAGTGGTGGTGAAAGGTGAGAGAAGAAGAGGAAAAAAGGAAGAAAGCATTGCTTGATGCTTTACGTCATCATTGCTTTCACCCTATAGCGATCCATCATCTAACAAAACTCAGCTCATCTCCAAATAATGTCTGTCATTACTCACCTTCCAAACGTCCACTCCTCTTCGTCTTTCCCTTTCTCCTGTTCCATCTAGTCCCGCTCATTCTCACTTCATCCACCTGTGACAGCTACAGAATTGCAATCATGACACCGGCTGCACCCAGCTGAGAGTCAAACCATGTGTCTCTATTGGACGGGCTTCAGATGACACAGTCTGTGTGGTTGGATGAGTGCTAGGGCAAGGAGAGTTATGCAGGATGTTCTTGTTTTCTAACCTTTTCATTCTGGTACACAAACAGCTGTGACATGAGCGTGATTGTTCACATAGTTGGCGATACTTTAGGCATGTTACTGGAGGATTTCTGTATCTAGAGGCCACACTGGTTGAGCTCAGGTGAGCAGGATCTAAATTCCAGACTAGGCGACAATCCATTGCTCAAACATTTTCCTCTGTGTATGGACATAAGGCTCCAGACTTGTTTACATTTAGGTTTGCAGGTTTGAGTGTCAATTTCTGAAATGCAAATTGAATTAAATTCATTTGAGTCCCCTGCCGCCCTGCCAAAATGACCTGAGCCCATCCGCTTTATCTAATTCATCACTTTGCACAGAGAGATGCCTTAAATTATGGATGCATACACCTTTTTACCGACTGACATAGAGGTTCACTTTCTTCAAGTAAAAGTTTTGAAGTCAGATCGCCCCATTATAAAGCATAAACTACATCTCCACATGCTGTGAATCAGGAGGTTTGACCCAGGAGTTAGTGTTAATGCAGCGCGGTGAGGAGACATATGCTTCATATCGGGGACATGTGTCATAATGAAGACGATCTTTTGTACTGTTAGAAGAGACTCAAGTCTGCAGTGCAGTGTTCATATTTCATTCTTAATCCTCAAAACGGTTGAGTAACATCGGGCTTCATGATCACACAAAGTTGTATATCACATCCACTCTTCGGTCTGTAATGTCTGCATTACGGTTTCTTATCGTCATTTTTAATGTTTATTAAAGACTAACTCTTAGGTGAACAAGGCTCCGTGCAAGTTTTCATATGAAATTTGCATGCGGGAAAGTTTTGCAAAGATCATTTTCATGTTAAGGTCTCTTGATGAATCACATGCGTTAACACGTCACCATTAACCCTCGTTAGAACATTACATAATTTCTTCCTTCAGTACTTGAGAATGGTTAAGCCTGCACTTTAAGGTGTCCATAATCCAGATTTATAGACTCCACAGAAAATAATTAGCCTAC